TAACTAGTTTCCTTCACCTGAATTTGGAATAAGTATAAGAAAGTGAAACAACAAAAAAATTAACTAAATAAATAAGACTATTCCACCAAAGAATTTAAACAATTTTGATCATCAGTCACATACAACAAATTTGTATGTTTTCAAACTTGATTTTCATTCTCTAATGGATTTCTAACTTCCCGCAGGACTGAATAAATAATTTACAGCTGAATTATTTTCTCGGTTTCCTGGTACAAAAGAAGGGAAGGGGGGGGGGAAATTTCGGCAAAAAATTTCTGATGACATCACATTCAGTATTATTAAACTCGTCTACACTAATCACCATGCCTTGCTATTTCCATTAATGCAAGTAACGAGTAGTCATGTTTTATACATGCTATCATCATATGAATATTATCTTTGGTAGAAGCAAATATTAGCTTCTGTCAGACTCATGGGTGTATCTCTGTAGCTGTACTGCACTATTACTAGCCATCTGTTTTAACTTCTATCGACTAATGACATCAGTTGTTAGTGACGTTAGTAAAACTTACAGAATCGCAAAGAAAACACGTATTAACATCGATAATTTATGAATATTGCCTAAAATAATATAATAATTGATTTTAATATAATATCGATAATTAAAATGAATATAGACGTTTAAACATCTCACGACATGCGTAGGCAGAAGTTACCTTTACCCTACATTCCATCTTTATGAAGTTTATGCTGCAATCAATTCTAATAAAATGATACGCTGTATAATAGTAATAAAATAGAAATAATTAAAAAAATCATTTATTAAAAATACAACCGAAACTTTAACTTAAAGAAAACAAAATTCTTCCTTAATGTTTTGACGAAATAAACTGTACTGTACTTAAATGATTTAATACATAAATAAAGTAAATGTTTCTTTAGTGTAACTGCCAGCTTATTAGTTTCTAAACGTATGCAAATTAATTTAACGTTAATTAGTTTAAAAAAAAAAGAAAAAAAAAATGTATTTTAATTCAAAGAAATTTTGGAATTTTTGAAATTATACATAATTTTTATTTAAATAAAAACATAAATTCGATAAAATTCAAAAACATTTTTGTAATTAAAAACCATATAAAGTAGAAAAGAAAGGAATTTTAATTATTTTAATATATAATAAAATCCAAGAGATGAAAATTTAAAATGAGTTTTAAATAACAGCGTAACGTTCTCAAATTTATATTTATTAATAAAATTTCTTTTTGAATTCAATTTTTTTTTTTAAATTCCAATTACATATATCATTTTATATACAAATAATTCACTATAAAATATAATAAATACATCAAACATAATTCATTCTATACGGGAATAACGTTGATACAGTCAAACACACTGTTAAACACATAATTTTAACGAAAAATTCATTGATTATATCCAAATATCTAATAGATAAAACGATCGACTTTAACTAGATTTGTGAAATATATTTATATATAAACTAAATCTAACCTTTACCCTCAAACAGCAGATATTTTAAATTTACATCAACTATTTTAGTAACTGATAATATATATATATGCTCTGTACAGTACATCTACATACAAACACTATCCAGCGATAGGTTGCTAGATGTGCGTGGTAATTTCAGAACAATTACTAAACAAGCCAGCTGTATACGATGTGACTTTAACACACGAGAGAAATTCTTCCGACTAAATTCATCTGTTTCGTTTAAAGAATTTCTTTTAAAACTTGCGACTGTATCAATAATCACAGTGTTAATTATTATTTTAGACTAAATTAATTTACTCACCGTTCTTTTTTTTTTTGTCTTTTCTGTCATCTCGGTAAACGTTAATCCACATATAGGAAACTTCTTTACGCGGTGTAAGAGATTACTTAAAAACCTTTACTGAAACACAAGTCAATTTTTATAGTATAAGCAGACGAACTAACACCACCAACGACTTTTTGATCGGATGCCAACCTACACAAAATACAGTTTGGCCGATACGAGCGCCACCGTCGGATCGTTGCTAGGTAACTAAACATCTTTTAACAATAGAGAACACACAACTTTCGCCGGATAACACCAGACGGATACATAAACAATAACAATTACATTTTTAAATAATAACTTACCGGTGTTAGGTTTAAAATATATATATATATATATATATACATAAATAAATAGTTTTTATTCTAAATTTTTCTCTGGCCAAAGTCATTATGGTATTTTAATTAGGTACTGTATTCATATATAAGCATGCAAAGAAAATTAAATTACTATTCACGGAATAAATTAAGTGTTGTAATTTCCTTAAGCATTAAAAAAGGAGAGAGAGAGAGAGATTAAAACATTTAAGGCAAATTGATAATTGCCAATGGGTAAATGATGGTTGAGGCATCAAATAATATAGACATTAACTTTGATGTCTGGTATATCTTCAATGATTAATTGTGTCGTAACTATCAATTTATTAAATGGTAAGTCGGAAAAATTCAGATAAGTTATTAAATATTAAAAAGTATCATTAAATTATAATACGCTTACACAGAAGTAAAGTACACTTAATTTTAAAACATACCATTGTCGATATAACTTATTATATAATTAATGTAAAATAAATTTTTTGCTATTAAAAATGAAGAGACAAATTAATGAATTCTTCTTCTTTTTTGTTTTTTGATTTATTGATGATAAATCCAGTCTATTCATAACAGAAATCTAAATATAATTCGTAAAATAATACTATCTTTATACATCATCTTGTACGTAAAAACAAAACGAAATTGGATATATTAAGAGATAATTTATAAGACTATAAATGCTTTATTATGAGAGAAAACAAAAAAAAAAAATTCAATTTCATTTTTAATATTTTGATAGTGGTTAAAAATTTACGAAATTCTCTTCGCAAATTAATAGTAAATACGATTATACAGATTTAATTAATTGATTTACGTAATTGATACGCTATTTATGTAACAGAGAAGAATTCTACCGTTATTTAACAAGATCAAATACGTGATCGCTTATCACGGAAGTTCTGTCTTCAACGGTTTACAATCGTGAACATCAGCAACTTGCATAATACATAATTTGCTTTTAATAACTTATAAATCATTAACATAATGCAAATTAAATTATGTATAATTTAAATATTATTATACTAAATATAAAATACTGCAACTAAGTATAAAAAAAAATAAACTTTAAGAGCTTCTTCCCCCCTCTTTCATCTGACGTCTTTTCGGTTTCTTAAACACCGTTTAAATAACGCAATAATAAGCGTAAGTAAATAATATCCTTAATAGAAATCTAGGTGTAAGGACATTCCATTTATTAAGGTTATGAAAATATTTAATCATCCAATAAAGAAATGCTTTTTATTATTAATTTACATATATATATACATACATACGTACCATTTTAATTTTGTGGTTTCTACATTCCATTTAAGAAATTTCAATTACTGTATTCCTGAAACTGTTCGCTCATTTATATTTGAAAATCTATTTTAAAATAACGTAGAAAGGGATCTCCCATTAGCTGATTCATAATAACCAGTAAACCTTGACTGGCGACCACCTGCATCTAACGATTAATCAGGTCAGCAGAAGGCCATCAACGGTCACGAAAAGATTTGACGAACAGGTGTTTGGATATACAGTTTCGTCCCGAAAGATATGTCTAATCGTGTTTTCTTCCATCATTATTCTAAAAAAATGTGAATTTTCATCAAGATGATCTATTCATCGTTTTCTGTCAATAATTATTTTCTCATTCAGTATTTAAAAAAACAAAAATTATTATTATTATTATTAAATTCATAAAACTTTATAGGGAAAGGATTTTTGTTTAAAATATACACGAGTGAACTTAAAAACAATCGATATGTTTCCTTTTCAAAATGTTCATAGTTTTTAATTGTATAAGATAAATACATTTCTTAATATAATATCTTAATATGTAAATGAATTTATATTTAAATAAAATTATACATTGTAATTGTTACAATACAATGCATTCTATTTAAATTCTAGATAATTGCACTAAAATAAAATTTCAAAATTCTTGTTAGGCCTATTTAAAAAAAAAATAATGAAATTTTATTCTATTGTATAGTACATTAACTAAATAATCTGAGACTAAAACACTTGGAATTATTTTATAAAATCACTTGCATGATAGAATAAGATTATAGTCATTTGTAGGTTTCTTCAGTTATTCGATTTCTATAAACATTGTTAATATTCTCACAGTAAGACTTCAGATATTAATTCTGTAGTTATAACTATTACATAAATATGCATTAAATTAAGCACTTAAAAAAAAAAAAAGTTATTCGAATGAAAACAAGAGATCAATGTAATACAAAATTGTTTCACGCCGTTATTAAATCTAAATTAAGGCTCTTTTTTTTCGTATATGTTAAGATAAAAAATGATTTTAATAATATGCATCATTCTACAGATGTTGGCAAATTTTATTTTTCTTCAGTTGTTAGGTCATTTGATTGGGATAGAGAAAAAGAGAATGCGTTCGCGAATGCAGCAGTTTCTCTTAGAGACATGGCTGCAGCAAACCGTTTTCATCAGATCAATACAGCACAACCGCAGTCGAGTAAAATATTCAAACAAATTTAACGAATTTTTAAGCATTTCTGATAAACAATAAAAATATTTTTAAATTAAAGCTTTAGCAAAAAAAAAAAAAAAATTAAAAACAAAAGCGAATAACTATTAATATTGATCGAATTATTATTTGAAGTAACCGTACACATTTATAAATTTATTATTAGCTTAACGTCGGATGACAAGATCATCTTAAAATATTTGGGTTCTTTATAGTTGTTGGTAGCAGACCCATGCACCAGAACCAGTACCAAGATGGAATTGGCAATTGGCCAATCCGAATTACTAAATCGGCAATTGGATGTCATGGCCCCGTATGGTGGTACCCCAGTGAATTACGTATTCGTATATGACGCTAACCTTACTATTTCTAAACTTCACTTACCTATTTTACTTACCTGTCAGATGACACGTGTTGACTAGCACCTAGACCTGTCACTAGTCACAATCTGAAAGGGAATTGATTTTTTCCTTCCTATCCAACCCCAGCATGCCAGCAAATGGCGGTCGCTCCCTCTGGCCTGGATGCTGGAACTAACATTCACGTTGTCATGACGACGCCGTAACCATGACAACCATCTCTTCATCCCCTCTGTTTCCCCAGCTACCTCTTCAATCAATAGTCTGGTAAACACATAGGACTTTCTCGTCGAGTGGAAATTTTAGAATGGATGCTTTTTTTAACTAGATCTAGGAAGTTGTTGCATCTGGATTTTACATGATATATATATAAAGGTAACAAAAGTAAAAGATCTACGAAAATTCATTTCAGAAACGAAAAATTCTTTGTATAATTTTTCAAGTAGCTTTTCAGCATTATGCCCAGAAAATCATGTGCGAGTGTGTGTAATTTATACGAGGTATTTATAATTGTCTTCAGTTGAATAAAACTCTTTTTAGAGCAGGCTTTTTCCCACTATCTTGTGTGTACATATGAAGTTGGATATTTAACGACATTTCACTTTACTTCACAATAGTAACGAAGTTAATTTGAGCATCAATGCAAGCAAGATCTCGGGATCAACTCGGTAGCCAATTAACAGAAAAATCGATCAATAAGACTGCATCCAAAAATGTATTAGAAATGAAATTTTTTTTTTTTTTGAGAATTTACCGCAATCAAATGTCCGATTAAATTCGATCGGGATCAATCGATCCTTATTTGACATCCTGCAGGTTTCTATCCTTGGTGCCAATGTCGGTAGCAGGTCATCGACCTGCTACTAAGCAGCGAACGTCCGTTGTACTGGATGCAGGATCGGCCACCAAATCATTACTGGATGTTTTATTAGAGTTATACCTTTATTATAATATTTAAAAATTAAGGCAATTTCTTCCGTATTCAAAATATCAAACGTTATAGGATTTCCAGAATGTTAAGTGTTATAATAAAATATATTTTTAAAACTCTACAACCAGAGTATTTATGCTTTATCTTTTACGTGTATTATAGTTATTGAGTTATACACAATAGCATTGTGATAATTATTGTTTAAGCTTAATTATTTTGTTTTTATACAGTACAGACTTCTAGCATATTACAATAGATGGCAGCACACTACAAACGATTTCCACTTGAAAATATTCCTAAAAGTGACAGGAAATAGAAATTTTGAATATAACCATAGAATCGATTTTGAATTGAACTCACTTCCTTTTCCAGTTATTAAATAACTGAATAGTTATTTTTCTTACAATTATATTTTTATATCTAAAGCGTGAAACTAAAGCCCACTTCTATAGTGTTAAATTTCATAACAAAAAAATTTATTATATAAAATAATAATCATTAAACCGACTCGTGAGAAGCTAGACAATACGAAATTGAGATCTACTTATACAGAGATACATCATTACGGAAAACGATAATGTATTTATGATAATTTAAAATTAATTTACGGTACTCTTATGATCACAGATTAAACTGCTGGAAAATTTATGAAAATAGAGGTAATGATTATTACCGAAAACAGTATCTGGATTCAAACATCATGAAGTTGAAGCAGCTAACTGTTAATAATAATAATGGCCTTTTGTATTTACAGAGGTGTCATTCTGTGTAGCAATTAAAAATTTCTGGTTAAAATAAAACTGGAATATGAAATGTGTATACATATACTATCATCAGAGTATATTTTAAATAATAATAATAATAATAAATAAATAGATGCTACGAAAACAATAGATCGTGAACAAATCAATATTTTTATAGAAACAAATAACTAAAACGAGTAATATGGATGTAAAGTTTTTTTTTTTGAGCAAAAACTGTTCGTTTCTTTTTCTTTATGATCTCACAAAACGCGATATTTATAGAGAAATGAAAAATATACCAGAGAGAGAAGTGTCAGATGATATCAGATGAGGAGCTGCTATGCCGGCTACATGCTTCTCTGACAGATATTATCAAACAAATAGTGACGAAGGAAGATCACCGCGTCAGATCTATTCGTCTTAAAAAGCAATGTCTCTCCGTCGAGAAAGCTTAGGATGGGTCTTCGCAATTTTATCGAACACTAGAAAAAAAAAAAAAAAAACAATGGCATTCGGGATTCTTAAAAATTACAGCGGATAAAATTAATTTTTGATAGCGTGTTTTACAGAATTTTAAGTTAAATTCTGTAAGGCAGGCATTCTTTGAAACTAGTACAAGCCGCGAAGTTAAAAAGGAAATAACAATCATGATTTAAACAAACCGTTCAAATTATCATCATCATCACAGAAATTTTATTCTTCTCAGCCATTAAAAAAAAAAAAACTGGATGGTTTATAACTGGATGGTTTCATTTCTTCTGAATTTTCTCCCGAAGATTACGAAATCAGTGTTGCACACATAATACAATGTCATGCGTAATTACTTCATTGTAAATATTGAGATTTTGAATTTTATGTAATATAATCTTGCATCATAATCTTCTTCTTCTTGGTGCCATATCAGATTCCTGACGTCGGCGACACCTGGCGTAGGTTTGTAATCCGCCAAGGTGTATACTAGGGAAAGTTACTACCCAGAGTGGTTTCCCGTTGCCTTCTCTGGGGCGCGATGTTACGCGAGGGGAACTAATAATAATCAACTTAATTAAACATCATAATAATCAACTTAATTAAACAGTAAACCTGTTTCTAGATCATAATTGGTTATCTTAATACAGGTCTTATTTTAATTACAGTGATTCTCACATATTTGTCCATCCAGTATGTTCTTGGAATAAAACATTTCCTAGAAAACTAAGAGTAATGCTTTGTATAATTTGCTATCAATCATCAGGATAAAATCAACAATTTGCTAACAATTCCGAAAGAATACATTTTCATTACGTGTGCACTAAAATAACTGAGAAAGCTATACTCAAATTCATTATATGTTCAAAATCTATCATCATCATCATCCCTGAAAAGAAATGATGGTAATTACTTATTAATTTTGAGATTTTATCGAAATCTTTTCAGAAATTTGACAATGAAATGACGACCAATTTGAAAAAAATCCATTATGCATTCAGCTTCAATTTTAATCAAATTATTATTTGTATAACTATTAAAGGTTTGAATATACTGTATTAGACGATTTCATCTGATTACTGCATTTTATAATTTTTTCATTATTTTAAATATTTATTTATTTATAGCAAATAAGCATAATGAATTTAGAAATTTAATAGGGTGGCTTCTTAATTTACAAAAATTATTGATAGCCAAATACATATTTCAACCAATTGTTTTAATTAATTACATAGTTGTAAATATCATTTGCATTAATTCTTATGAATAAAAAACATAGATAAAAACATTCATACTTTAAAGTGTATAGAAAATTTACATAAGTTTCATCATAATTATTTGCAACATAAACAATTTTTTTACACTGTTGTTCTAATTTAATACTAGAGTCAGTAAACAACTATCTAAAATACAATCAGTTTCAGATCATTGTTTTTAAAATACACGATAGTATATTTATCCATTGAATACATTCCAGCATTAATTAATATAACTGTAATAAATATTTAATGATCTACAATTCACTTAGAAATTTTTTCAAATAATTTTTCATTCTAGAAATATTTCTTCTGTAAGCAAGTGCAAATTATAAATATGTAATATATAGCAAATTTATTAAAATCAAATGATTATCAGTTATATTAATATAATATAGTATAACAAAAATAATTAAAAATCTGTAACAATAATTTTATAATTTAAATTATTCATACATTTTTTTAAACTGAAATTCAGGGAAAAGGAAAATAATTATATATATATATATAATTCTACCAATGTTATGATTCCAAAACTGCACATATGAAAATAATGATGATAAGTTGAATTTCCATAATAGCACAAATAATATTCCAAAGCTTTTCAAGTAGACTTAAAGCTGTTCTCATAAATACTACACAAACAGTATAACAGTTATCATACATATGGTGCAGAGCAGCATCTTTATTGACACATTTTACACACTTTCCAAATTAGTTGTTTTCTAACTGTAGATACGACATTGGTCATATTGAGTAATAGCATTAACACTTTGATGGGAGGAAAAAAAATCAAATAAAATTTTTAATGGAATAATGCTAATTTAAACAAAATTGCAATTAAGCATTGAATATCAATTCATTTTCATGGGTGCAGACAATATTTTGAGGGCACTTTATTGAAGCATATTTTTATGGATATGGTCGATTCATTTGAAAACTAATTTTTTTTTTGTACTATTCTATTCAACTAAGATTGAAAACATACAAATTGCAAATTATCGTATACAGAAATTTTAAAAACTAATTAACTTATAAGGCACGGTAAAAACTTAAAAAATGATTTACAGTATCTTTGTTATTTGCTGCATCAAATATTGGCACACAACACTCAAAAAGGCCCTTCTATATATATTTCATACTAGATTATATCTTTGGATATTAATATAACAATTGAAAATGTATAAAGCTGCATGCCTATAGTATTGATTTTCAAATGTTAAGGATTATCTAGTGAAGATAATACAAAAAATAGCAATTTTTCAGATTGATATTATAAGTACAGCATCAAATTGCACACAGGCTATTTCTGCTGAGTTTTACACTGAAATAATGGAGTACTAGACTTTCTTTTAAATTTCAGTAGAGGAAAAATTTCAACTAAACTAAAAATATTTTTTTCTCTCAAGAAAATCTGTAGTTAGGAATAGTTGATACTTGTTCCAGCATAATTGAATCATAATGATTTCTTGAATTGACTCCAATTCATATTCTAATATAATTAATTTTTGTGTACATGGGGAATGATAAGATTATAACTATACATTTTCTTTATGATAATAAAATCTAATGCAAATTTATATAAAACTGTAATCTTTCATTTGATTACAAAACAAATATCACAAATCTAAAATAAGCAACTATAAAAAAAGTCACAATTTATATACTGTATTTGTATACACACACACATATATATATATTGTGGGATTAAAAATAGCATGGAAAATAATGAAGATTTCAGAAGGGTAGAAAAGAAGCGCGAGATGTTTATGACCTTGGGAAAGAAGGATTCTGCCCAATTTTTGTTATCGAGGAAATTTAAGGGGCGTAGATCTGTTAATAGAGTGCTCTTAACGAGGAGTGTTTTTTTTTTTAATCAAATTTTTTATGGCGGACGAAGAGGAAGAGGTGTCGATGATTACGCTCGTTCTCTCCTTCCCCCTTGGTATTTGCGTAGAGATGTTAATAAGGCCGACTTAATGAGGAGGGAATTTAATAAGCGCTTAAAACCCTATTGTTTTATGATAAGCCAAGCCGTAAAAAAAAACAAAAAAAAAAGGAGGATGCACGTTCTTCCAGTATGTTCGTTCCTATATAGAAGTGCTGTAAGGTAAGAGCATCCCTATACAAGGTTATGGGCGATAATAAGGGCCTGATTAATATTTTTTTCCCCCACTCTCCTCCACGGAGTAGAGAGGATGCAGGGGTAAAGGGAAGAGTATAACAATTTTCATTAGGAGTTTTGTATTAAACGAAATCGATTTTCAGCGTTTTTCTTGATATTTTATAAGAATATGCAACAGACGGCAGAAAAACGTGTG